TATGTAGTGTCTCTACTCAGTATGTAGTGTCTCTACTTTAAAGAGTCCTCTCCTGCTGATGTTAAAGAGTCCTCTCCTGCTGATGTTGAGGTGTATATCAGTATGTAGTGTCTCTACTTTAAAGAGTCCTCTCCTGCTGATGTATCAGGGAAAGGAAAACCCCAACAAGCTGAACGTGGCCTCTTTAACTAAATGCACTGATTGCTTATTAGCTTTTCTTTAAAATATATTTTCTGAAGCTCCTTTGGGGTTTCTTTGATGAACCTGCCCTACTTTCTTCCGCTGTAATCCCTCACAGTAACACTTTATATCTACAGATCCAAGTGGAACTATCCCCATGTATTTATGTTTACTACCGTGTTGTAGTAAATTCGACTTATTGTCTGCCTGTCTCTTGATTACGAGCAGCTGCTTTAGATTCCTAGCACCTGCTCTCTGAGAACAAACACATGTTGTCTGCACACACAGATGGCTGTCCGCGGTTCATCAATAACGCTCTTAAAAACCAAACAAAACTGGCAACTACGCTTATGGAAACTGTGCACGATAAAAACGTGTGTGTGTGTGTGTGTGTGTGTGTGTGTGTGTGTGTGTGTGTGTGTGTGTGTGTGTGTGTGTGTGTGTGTGTGTGTGTGTGTGTGTGTGTGTGTGTAGGAGTTCTTTGACCTGTGGCCTGTTCTTATGGGAGAAGTTCCCCCGTATGATGGACCCAAGACTCCTGATGGCAGGGTGAGAATAATCTGTAACTGTTATTACTTTGTTGTTTTTGCTACTGATGTTTTGTTTACCCTTCTACCATCATTGTTTACAAAGAGCCCCCTTGATTATAACATATCCATGAGAAAGACACACTTCAATTCCCATGAAATGTGCAGGTAGGAAATGACACACTTCAGATGTTTCTGCTGGCTAATCTCTATCGGAAATATATTTTTGCCAGAATTCTGACTTTAAGATTTGTTTTAGTTTTTTTACAATTTTCTCTCAGCAAAAAAAAGTTAGATACAACATTTTTTTTTATAGGATGTATTTATTTGACTTTTTGTTACTTTTCCTCAGAACTCTTATTTTATAGGGATAATGAATTATTAGGAACAAAAAAAAATTCCAGATGAGTTTTTTCACTTTTTCCTGAATTCTGACTTTAATCTCAGAAAGAAGAAGAAAATAAATATTTATTCGAAAAACTTTTTTGTTTACATTTTTCTCGGAATTCTGACCTTAAACTCAGAAAGAGAAAAAAAAATGGTTAGAAAAAAAATTATTTTTTTCTATATTTTTTTTTACTTTCCTCAAAACCTTAATCACAGAAAAGAAATTTTGAGAAGAAAAAAAATCAAATATTTATTTTATTGACTTTTTGTTACTTTTCCCTCAGATTTCTTAATCTTATCTCAGATTCGGCAGAAATATATCATTTTTTATCATATTTATTTTTCTTAGAATTCTGACTAAGAAATAAAAGTGGTTTGAAAAAAATATATATTTTTCTAATTGTGAGACTTTTTCCTCATAATTCTGACTTTAATGACTGAACTATAAAAAATAAATCACTTTTAGTCAGAATTCTAAAATAATTTCAGAAGTGGCCCTAATTCTCTTTTGGGAATATGGGAGTCCCAACAGTTTTATTATTTTTTGCAAAAATATTTTCAAATGTTTTTAAAAGCTGGCTCTATCACTACTGCTATATTTTCACTACAGCTGCTGCAACTAACTGTAAGTACCATTCCTTCACCTCCACTCTCGGTTGTTTTGTTCGTCTCTAAAGGAAATTATCTTCTACAAACTGATCGACTACATCCTCCACGGCAAAGAGGACATCAAAGTCATCGCGTGAGTCAAAACGGAGATCCAGTTAAAGAGTTTTTGACCACTAGGGGAAAAGCAGTGGGGCTTTTTTTGTTTGTTCTGTGCCATACACATACTTGACGTATTTTGTGTTGTAGCTTGACCACAGACCTTATTTCAGACTAACAACAAAAAACAGAAAACCATTGACCTCCAGACCAGGACAAAGACATTTTGACTCTTTCGGGGTTTCAGGACTCATCCCTCCTCCACTCTATTCCAGTGATATACAGGAGGTTTATGAAAGCGTTTTTATAACAGAGATAAGAGCAGGATATTAATGATGTATTTTCCTTTCTCACAAAACCATTCTTGATGTTTTAATACCTAATAATACAAGGAACAAAATAAGTCATTCATCTTCAGCATTTGTTTTGTTTCTATGATCCAGCGCTGCTGCTCTTGTAAACAGTATTATCTCACAGTGTTAATGGAAAGTGCTGCATTATTTAATATGAATGATTCTACATAGCGTTTCATATAAACACAGAGTAGGAAATTAATCTCCATGTTTGTTGTGTTTCAGTTTGTTGGAGATGATTATCATAACATTTTCCATTAACGTGTGTTGGTCCTCAGGACTCCTGCAGCCGATCACTGGGCGCTGGTGAGCGGGTTACCAACATACGTGGCAGAAACTGGACTGGTACGTATTTCTCTTCCTCTAGTTCGGTTGCTTTAAGATCACACTGTTCTGAAATGAGCATCCACTCTTTAGTGTGTGATGCAAAACATAAAGACATTACGTGAAAAGGTGTGACCATTTTCAATAACAGTTATTATATATATTATTTTGTGACTAACCAGAGGTGGGAGAAGTACTCAGGTCTTGTACTTCAGTAAAAGTAGAAGTACACAGATATTGTACTTTAGTAAAAGTAGAAGTACTCAGATCTTGTACTTGCGTAGAAGTAGAAGTACTCAGGTCTTGTACTTGCGTAAAAGTAGAAGTACTCAGATCTTGTACTTCAGTAAAAGTAGGAGTACTCAGGTCTTGTGGTAAAAGTAGAAGTACTCAGATCTTGTACTCAAGTAAAAGTATTAGCATCAACATATAGTTAAAGTACCGAAAGGAAAAGTAGTTATTGTGCAGATTGGTCCATTTCAGAATAAATTAAAATAGTTTTTGTCCTTTGACACTTCGCTGTCTGTTTCTGTGTTATTCTCCATCGCTGGAGACGATAGCTCCTAACGCGCTAACGTTAGCATCCAGTGCTACCCATCCCAACTTCCTACAGAAGAAC